TTAACGAGTTTTGTTTAATTTGCAGGACATGAGAAGGGCTCTGATTGCGGGGTAAAGGATCCCTACAATATAGCATAGCCGGGTGGGAACGGAATGGAATAATACTTCCTAATAGTCGAGGTTAAAGCTAGTGACTATAAGGCACTCGCTGCTGTGGATAGCAAAACTGCTTCGTACACGTACACATTGATAGATTTTGATAAGCTCTTCAATAGCGGGCGTCAATGCGATGAGACACTCATTGCCTTTCATGTGGGTTAACTCAAAATCCCGCCAGTAGATAAGGAGGGTAGACCAAGCGACCAGCTTCTATTGGCTATACGTCCTGTGATGTCTCGCTACTACCTTTCGTGGACGAACATCGTTTTGCAGAACGATTGATTTGAAATAGTCTGTAAGGTTTACCGCTGGCCGGAATCCATGCCGTTGTATCCGTTGTAAAGAAATCAATTTATTGGCAGTTAGCAAGCAATGTTACAAAGTGCAAATATAGATCCCGGTTCATGGACAGGAAAAAGAAACGCGCTATTTCCAGTTAACGTTATCGATAGATCCTGTAAAGTTCTTCTGATAGCGGGTTGCATACGAGGAAATGAAGATATGGTCATCTTTTTGTAGATTTTGGGTGTTACGGGTAAACTCTAACAGCATACTTAACTAGTGATTTTGTCGTAAACGAGTTCGGTTAGCTCAGGGACGAAGGAAACCGCAGTTTTTGTAACAAACCATCCTACAAATAACTGAATGTTTCCACAAAAGTAATTTATTAACTAGAGTTAGCTAAACACCCCTTTACAAATTATTTGATCATACCTCCTATATGCAGAAAGTTCCTGATCTATAAAAATCACCGAGTAAATCTTGGTGTTTCAATGTATCGGAAACAGGTAACGATCAAGTGTACCCTAAGATTCTAAACGCTAGTAGAGTTCGTTGGATCAAACGAGTCAATATTGGACTGACCCATTTCGCTTAATTACGTAGCAACTAAGCCCTGCCCTCATCACGTTATCCGGTGCACCATGAAGATGGCCAGGTGGGCAAGAGCCCGAACAACCGCTAACGGCGTAAACAACCCGTCACACTATTCAGGACCCTCCTGGCAACTGTTCAAAATCGGCTTATGTTTGTTACAACTTCTGCAACATTCGTCGAACCCCCAGCGTTGACCGTATCACGATTTAGATGCCTGTAATTAGGACCTAGTTAAGCCTACCCATACTTCAGCGGTTGATGTGACTGTTTTCATGCGCATGTGAATCAAAGAGAAAATAAGGAAAAATAGAAGCAGTCAAATATCAGCCGTTGGTAGCTCTTCTATTAAGCTTGTTATGTCTGCTAATTAATACAAGGGTATTAGAAATAAGCAAATGTTGCATTGAAACTACCAGTATGGCTGGGGCAATTATAGCTTTCGGATGTGGACTTTTCCTGTTTTAGGATGTTGGATTTATTTAGGCTGTTTCTCCTTGTCCAACTAAAAGTTATCAACATGTGCACCAGACTTGTAGCTACAATTTTTGGTACTCGTGGTCATCAACGCACAACATTCAGTTACCTGAAGTTCGGATAATGGCTTGAACCTAGCTTATTTCATATAGACACAAAAAATGGTCTTTTTCCTACTATCTTCAACTTTACGGTTTAAAAAAGGAACCATGATAGGTTGTTTCCGTGAAAACCTCCCTTCCATTTAGTGTGCGTGCTTTGCTAAATCTGCCGTATAATAGATATCGACATAAATGGCAGAGACCTTGGAAAACTTTTATTCCTTAAACCATGCAATCTGATTCGGTGCGAGGAGATGGACCGTTATTAGGAAAACGTTGTGATTTCCGACATTCCGTTAATGAGTGTATCCTCATTAGCACACTTAATAAAACACTGTATTTCCAAATAAATAACAAATACCATAAGCATTTGAGCGTATTACGAATTGTAGCTGGCCCGTTTCGAGGCCGTTTAAGCGCAGCACACTTGCAAACCTGTAATTGTGCAGTCAGTTACAGCCAGTCCTAGCGCTGGAGTTGTGCCCGTATAAAGAACAACCATTATACATTCACGCTAACCACAACTAGATAATGTTCAAGGTAGCCGCCGCGCGGCGAATTTTTCGAAATCTATTTATTTCGAACAATAAGAAAGCCAGGCAATATCAAGGCCTACTTGTACAATAACATTTCATTAGACTCATTTAGAAACACAAATACAAAGGCTTGTAAATAATACTATAACGAACTTATTTGAATTGATTGAAACAGTTCGCTTCAGGACCGAAACGGAATCTTCTTTTCGACCTAGGCCATCTCATACCTCCCTAAGCTTAGTAGGCAAACTCGAAAACAACGTAGCTTATATCTGATGCAATTGACGATTACGGGTCATTATTTCCGTACTCTTATTATAGCGCCATCAATAAACCTGCCACGAATCAGGTTACTAGGTTTTCTTAAGAGAGGTATAACATTTTGTTGTATTTTTCTCCATCTGCTTAAAGTAATGTTACGGGTAGTCGGGCCTTGCCAGCTAGTACCAGAATCTACTTAGAAATCCGGTTATCTCCACCAGCTACACGGAGGTCAAGATGTTGAGGCGACTTTGGTGGAGGCCAGTACCAGCTTAGGGAACTAATTGGGCGGCGCTATTTGACCCTGGGTACCATTTCTGCACTCATACGTCCCTCACTTATTTAAAATTGCTACCCCTACTCAGCTGGTCCGCCAAGTAGTAGTTTGGGTAGACAACGGCCTACAAAACCACCCACTCATCCAGTTCTCTAAGCCTCAGTGGGTTCCACTGCGCCTTTGAACGTTATTTAATATCACGACTAAGAAGGGGCGCCGCCGTTCTATCGGCAAAAAAGGAAAGCAACGCACCACACAAATATACACACACTTACAAAGGGCACGAATAGGCTGCGCTAATCTGGACTTAAATATGCATCCGAGGAAATAGGACTGTGGACGTTTCCCGCTGAAATGCTTTGGGAAGGTGGCCGACCGTGGAAGGCCCACGAGTCAATAACGGCGAACTTCTAGATGCAGGAAACGTGAAGTGCACTTAGTCTGCAAGAAGAGCAAGTAGTATAGCGCAAAACCATTTATCTGACACTAAGTTCGACTTACTTTCCATCGACGAATAGAATACTTGTTCGGTTAACTACGAACAATAGAAGTTATTCTCGCCATCAACTTATTCCATGTATTATTATTATTGACTAGTACCACGGTCACGTATTAGATGGAAAAAAACGTCCCATATCGCATGATCCAATTATGTATCGAGCACTGATTTTTATTTAGCATAGTTGTGCAAAACAATACTTAATTCTGGCAACGGTAGCCGGTCAACCGTATGTGGCTTCCGCCGTCAGTAGCAAATTTGCATTAAACGTGAGCTTGTCGAAATATCGAGAAAATATTCTGGCAAGTTGTTCTTTCTAACAGTTTATAAGTTGTCGTTTCAGGATGCTGTCCAATGGTTAGGTAAGTTGAGTGCTTTTCCACGGTATTTGGACATTATGCTTAATGCTATTTATACTGTTGGAACGTATAAATCTAGCAATAGAAATATGAGGTTACCTGACCTTGCGTATACTCTTACACACTTAAAACAGTAGAAAGCTAACTAATGCAGTCTTCATTACAAACTAGCATCTGAAGATTGTAGATTTTATTATAAGTTTATAGTACATCGGTTGACAACTATCAACTTTGATACTACTTCACACATCAAGGACATATATGATTAAAGAAGATGCAGGTATACGACAAGGTGTTTTTCATTACTATGTTCAAATCCATATATTCATCCATAACTATGATTTCTCATGGCTGAGTAGTGTATTCAAAGTAGGCCTACTTATTTTGTTTCCTGGTGTAGAAAGCGAAGAAATTACCATAAAATTGGGTGCTGTCAGGCGCGCAGAGCTGGAGCCTATTTAAAGAAAATTCCCGTTGAACTTGACAAGCTTACAATGAGTACTTAAATTACTAGGTAATTAGCATTTTTGTGTACGACGAATTATATCTTCATACGTGTGTACGTTAAACTAGAGAACGTCGTTGCAAGGCGTGACTGGATTGCTGTATTCTCTTTTAATATAAACAAGATACCCAACTATATAGCGAGTGAATACAAATAAGGCTTACAGTAAGTTAGATAGACATCACTTAGGATGATATTGTCAAGAACTAACCGAACTGAAACTCGTACGCTTAAAAGACGTAATACTCAGTGAAAAGAAAAAAATCCGTTCTGAAAAATATAGCTCTCATGCTTTTGCCCCCTTTGGCATCATATGTGCGTTTCTCCCATTCAACTATAATGCATGAGCTATAATATGGCATTATTTGTAGATTGAGGTTAATTTCGTCCATACGAGTTTGGTATGAGCGAATATCCGTTAATGAGACATGGTTGAACGCAAGATTACAGAACATATTCCGTATGTAATCCAAGTTCTTATCGGTTGCTTTGTCTTAGCATTAGCTCTCTCAAGTTTTACTATAGAACACTATTATATCGGTCAACGTGCAAAGATCTTAGAATATCTGCTTCGTACGGCTTTTAGACACGCCTGGCTCCAAATATTTTGTTTGTAAGAAGTCTGACAAAAACCAAGCTCTCAAAACCGCCGGGCTCAAAAGCAAAGCGGGAGCGAGCAGCTGTCGAGCACTACTACCATTATTAATCAGTACAGCCGCTGTTATTTAATGTAGACAGAGAAAGGGGAAAAGGTGGAACGAAAGAAAAGTTTCCGGCGACAGTCAATTTTAGTTGACTCCAGAGAATCTTTGCTGTTACATAATAACTCTTGTCTATGGCACGTCATCACCAAGATGGCGGTAAGAAGTAGTTCCTCTCTTTAGAGAGAAAACACATTTCACATCAATAAATAATCGAGAATTGTTATGATGAAGAAACATTACCGGTAACAATTATCTCGGTAATATCTATTGATATTGCCGAAATTGTTTTGTATGAGTAAAGTAGCTTACAATTCGCTCCCACGTAAATCCGTGCATAGAGATGGAACAGTCATAACTTTTCTTCGTAGAAAACGTCAATGCACGCCTTTTTCACACGCAACACAATGGGTAATATGCATTATTGAATAACTTCATTCAGTTTCTAGAAGCTCCGATAAAGGGCTAACATGATATGTAGCAACGTTCGTATATATTTTAAAACAAAGACGCACTGCACCTGTGTTGAAGCATTTTGTATGAAACTATATATTCGATGGTAGAATTTACGTTGTCGTCAAGCTTTAGACGCATAAGCTCTGTGTTTACAGGTAATAATTGGGAGCCACTCAGTGGGTCAAAAAATTTAATAATTTGTAAATCATATAACGCAGCTATTGGGTGTTTGCTAAGTGTGCTACGCCACCTATAACCCTCTTCAATGAAGGAAAGCAATAAAAATTACGTGGACGTTCATACCGAGAATATGGGCACCGAAAAGGAATACTGGATTCTATTTCCCTCAATTTACATTCGGATTGAAGCTTGATAGTACGGTCGTGCGTTATAGTCGAGTAATTATATTTTGCGCTCCCGGTTACAGCGTCACACATCTTTCCGGAATTGGCAGTACTAAGTGGCAGTGAGGCTTCTTTGTTCAGGCAATAACAAATAATGAAAAACGTAGTAACAAATAACACAAAATGTGATCAGTGCTTTATTGTGAGAATGAGCACCGTATTTATCACAGCTTTGTTCTCAGGTCCAGCTTCACTCTCGCGTTTTTTTTTTTTTTCTCTATGATCCCACAGGCCGACCCATATCTTGCCTATGGCTACGGCGTGATCCTGGCCGGTTTTTCCCTTGTAGTAGATATAATTGCACAAGTTTTTTATGGACCTTCGTCGTAAAAAAACCCCGCTTTGTGCTTTTGCTCTTCAGGTGCAATGCTATAGTGACAATTCATGACATGGACTTGCATTGAGCTCACAGGGACTGCTTCGTTTTACTTAAAAAATCCCATGATTTCCGCAACTTTTGTTTGAGGTCCGAAGTCGTAGTCATCCCCGTAATTTTGAACCTTCAACTTCCGCTAACGACCTGCTTTTGTACTAAAGGCCTCTTTGCTCGATGTCTTTATTAGCCCGCAATAGAATCCTCATCTATTAGAAACAGATTCTTCTAAACGCAAAACTCAAATATTGAGGGTAGCTTTCGAGGATCGAAGAATATCGTTGCTTCTAAGCATATTATCTTCTGATGGCATTTCATCAGCTTATAGTCACAGAAATACAATTAAATATTTACCATTTCTCGATTTAGCGTATTTTAACGATCATTCCGACCCGCCGACCCACTAAGCAACTCTAACCAAGCTAAGGAACGTTTGTGTTTAAAATTATAATTTGCATGTGTTTGCTGCCAGTAGCTACAAATATATAACAAAATACAAACTAGTCAATATTAGACCTGTCAACCGTACTGCACCATGCTATTTGCCATACGCATTTTGCAATAGTATCGCCACTTTCTAGCGACTTCCCCGTTTTTCCTTCCTCATGATTTCGCTGCAACAAGCTCTTGAAGAAAACATATCGATGTACAACTACCCTGTTAGAATCGGATGGCTTTGTTTTACCAATTTAGTGTATAATAATGTATAGAATCAACTGCAAGAAGTAGCGTTCGGGGAGCGTTTTTTAAAAGCTCTTACAAATGTTACCACGGCCGGCGCAAATGCCTAGCGCTGCTAGCGACTGCAGGTTATGGAGGCAATGCCATAGGCTGAACGAGAATAGGTCCAAAGGAGAAATGTCAGATGGAACAGCCAGACTAATCTACATGTGGGCGTATCTCTATGTGAACAAAATACCTCTGTTCTAATCAATTAGTGGTAAAAATCCATCGTAACTCTGTCGGTTCGAATCTTAGAAGTCTTTGGTACAAGACCAAAACTACTTTAATATCTGAGCTGAGAATATAGAAAACAAAATCAATTTTTTTCAACCAACTCATTCAAGTGTATCGGAAAAAACAACTAAACATTTTGTTTACCACTAGAGTTGATTAATACTTGGGACACAGGACCAAGTATAATATAGCAAAGCCAAGAAAAAGCTAAGCTTACTTCATTATTGGTAAAATTAACATTGCCAAATTTCGCCATTACTTCATCAGTATACTTTTGCATGCTATTCATATTACATAGGCAGAATTGAGTAAAAAGGCTTTCGGATAGGCTCCTATTCATTCGTCCTACCGACTGCTTCTCCTGTATCGAAATTGAAGAAATTGCCGAAATTGAAAGAGTAGGTGTGATAATGAATGTCGATGGCCAATAGACAACGTAGCAGACTTCTGTCTTGAACAAAAGAAATCTCCTCTAGCTGGGTGCGGCGTCTAGACTATGAACGGTGTCCTATACATCAGAAGCGAACCGCTCTTTTCAATAAGCGTGGCTCATGCACGCACTTAAATATGCTTCAAGTGCAATGAGACTACCCTTGAATCTCTGTTCAAAGGTAGTCTCATTGCATATATGGCCTTACGAGGTATATCAGCATCACCATCGTTGTCCTAACCGGCCAATATTTCGATGGGCCACAATTCGCATGAGCTCTGATTATAGTTTTGAAACAGAGCAGACATATTTCGGCGCGTTTTTTTTTTTTTATAATAACAATGCTGATCATTTATAAGGAGCGCCTCCTTCTAATTTGATTCTTTAAGCTTCGATTTGGACGAATGGTGCGTTTACTATAGTCAAAAATGAGTAGCATTAGATGGTCGAACGTGACCTCTACGTACGTCTGTCTACGTATATTGGTTGCAGCCATCGCAAATTCAATTATGAGCTCCTTATCATCTACAACATGATCAAACTATTGGTGTGCCGTTATTCTTATTTTGCATTCTTTTATTACCACTATATAACGTACACACGTACAACCATTGGATTAAAGCACGTTTTTTTTTGTTTCATCATAAGCATATGCGGAATAGAGGCAGGCTATTGGGGTACGAATACGTATACAACGATAAACTTTCGATACTGATAAAGCACCCGTATTTCGGAACATCTGCGGTTAATTTCGCCAATTTTTGCGTCTCTCTCATTGGGCAACTGTTTAGTCTCTTTTTCTTCGTTCTTTACGCCGATCGGCTGGCTATCAACTTTGAATTCCTGACAAAATTATCGTATTTTCACACTTAATGCTACGGTTGTTGGAAACTGATCTTTAAATGTATATACTGAACCTACTAGGCCTCGAAAGAAGCAAACGCTATTTTGCAGTCATGATAGAGAAAAGTAGGTTGACGTTGACAACTATCGTTCAGGTAGATTCATAGACCTATCTAGAAGTGCCGCCGCCGTTTTTACGCTAAGACTACAGAACGTAGGAGATAGTGGGCCATGTAATTCCTCGAGCGGCCTAATTATTGTTTGAATATTCGCATACACTTCAAGAATCGTTTTGCTGTAAAACAAAAAAAAATTCTACCAGGGAAAGTAGAAGAAGCAATTACCATTACCAAATCATATTGTGCACAAATTTTCTTATACTTCTAACAGATAATAAGAAAAAGTACAAAATTACTTTTTCGACAATACGCCGTTCGAACAGAAGTATAGATTTTTTTTATTTTTATTACTTGGTCCGATTGTGTCGGGGATAATTAATGCCCCACGAAATGTATTTAAGCATATATTATTATAAATTTATTTAAACATATATAGAAAAAAAATTGGAACGATTTCCCTTGTTACATTATTTCCCCAACAAAGATGGAAGCTTCGATATACCGCTAAGATGCATTTTTTAGGGGGTTAACAGGTGACTTGGGGTCTCAAGGACAAGGGGCATATGGAGCCATAAATTAAACAACAATGAAGCAACATGATGAAATTACGCAAGATACCCAAATGTTTCCACTTTCAAAAATGTGTCTCGATATCCCATCCATGATTTACATGATTGTCTGATGAAGTACATGATGATTATCGAGTTGTACTAGCCAGCATACATCAATGCATTGTTTTGGTTAACCCTATTTTAGCTAACTTAACCTCAAACGGATCTTTTTTTTCTCATCAATTTACAATGAGTAGTGTACTATAAGCCTCCATAACATTTTTTTTCCTGTTTCTTTGCTCCATCAATGCTTACCTAGTTGGTCTACTATCCAAGTCAACCAAAACCTCTACAGCTACTATCAAACAGCCATCAAGCACTCGCCCTTCACCTTATTCTTCAGCAAACTCCAGCTAACTACCACCTGCGATGACTAATTCTCCATCTAGCAGCCTCGAGAACAGGAAGTTATCGAAGTACCAAAACTGCTGAGCCATACGCCAAAAATGTTGTGTAGACAGTGGAACACATACATCCGCATATACACATATATACATATATATATATATATATATATATGCATACGGCGGAAACGTTTCAGCGTCAGCCTTTCGACACTTGCTTGTTGTTGTACTGGCTGGCGGCTTATGCAGAAGAGCTTGCAGTGATGGAAATGGCTGTTGTATGGCCACTTGAAGGTCGACCGGAGCTTAGGGGAATAGACACCGACGCTTCGACGTTTAACGGTGTTTCCGGCCGAGAAGCGGAGACAAGGAAAATCCGAAGGGAGGCACAAGGGGTTGACGATGGGGATCGTAGACCTTGACAATCTCGCGGGCTCCCCAGCCGTTCGTTAGCTCTATTACTGTGTCGAACGGACGAAAAATCTAGGACAGCTTAGAATAGGCTAGGATGAGAGGCAGGAATGCGAGCCCTGACCTTTTCTATCGCCCCGAACGTAGCTAATGCCGTCGCTGCCGCCACTTCTGGTTAGCGCGAAGACTGCTACTGCTTCAACCTGTGCTGCTGCTGTGTTATCTAGTGGAAACAGGAGGCCCCTCGAGACGCCGGAAAACTGGGAAATATTATGGCGCTTCCTGCAGAGTTCAAGAACAGCTGCCTGTGTTCGAACGGAGGTGGGGAACTAGAACGATGGCAGTAGCGGCTCCATCACTTGTTCGTCGCTGCCGGTTTGCTACAGTTCGTCCATCCGGTCTTCAACTCTAGTCATATCTTGACACGTCGACGGAAGTGCAGTTACCACGGGGGCGACTATAGGATTACGGACTACAACAGTTGCAAAGGAGAAGCTAAGTGGACCGAAAGCACCCCACAATGAGCCGAGAGAACTTGTGGGGTACGGAGTAAGTTCTGCTATAACAAGCGCCTTCTCATACCAATCGTTACTCGTTGAAGTTGGCCGACGACTCGAGTTTGA